AGTGAAGATGAGATGGTCACTTTGATCCCTGAAAACTTAAGAAGACCACTGGTTAGCTCTCCAGTTTTACACAATAGGAATTTTTTCCTGCTTGTAATAACTTATCTCAATGTTATATTTATGTCTAAGTATACATTGTCTACTGTGTCACAACTTTGATAGTCTCCCAAATGACAAATTTTTTTCATTTCCTTAAGTGTGGAGAATTATCTCTGAAGATCTGAATCATGTGCCCTTGCTGGAATATTAAAATATAGATTCCACAAGTGGGGGAATGTGGAAATGACATTTAAAGGACATTGTAGAGCATGAGTAAATTCATAAAAATGTGAATGAGCTTGTCAAAATCATGGAACTAAAAGCTGAATTTGATAGTGCACTAGAAGATGAGTAAGGAACACAGGACAAACTTGTGTTATTAATGGTCCTGTATATTAAGAGTTTTTACTTTATCTAGGAAATGGGCCACTATTTAGATGACTTAAATATGTTGCTTACATGATCAGCTTTGAATTTTTAAGCCATCAGTCTGGGAATAATGAATGCATCAGATTAGGGACAAGTGTCTTCTTTATTTATCCACTACTTTGTTCATCCCAACATCTGGCATAAGATTTTATTTTCATGATTGGTTCTTAATTCTGATCCAGTCATAACCAAACATCTTTTCTGCCTATTTATAACTTCATACTAAAGTAAGAATTTTTTTAAGGAAGGGTCTTTTAGCCTTAAAAACTGAGATGATTATTTTTTTCTGTGGTCATAGGTTGAATTTTTTAATAACCTGTGTTTTGATCTATATTTAAATGTCACAGTCTGGATTGAATGCTTTTTCTGGAAGTAGAGACATATGTGAAGGCTTCAGGTTTCTTATTTCTTTACTTGTTCTTTCTGGATTTCATAAAAAAGGTATAAATGAGCAATGAAATAACTTGGTTGGAATGTGATAGGATATTGCACTACCTTTGTTTGTTTTTAAAGGTCACATATTGTACTTAAAAATACGTGTGGCAAATTGCTGTGTAAAATTCAGGTTAAGAAAGGATATTAAATACAAAAACACTCTCTTTAACCTGAAAAGTCCTGAAGAGTGTAAAGTTTTAATTAAATAAAAATTAATTATGAGGTATTTTAATATGCAATTTAGGCATTAAATAAAATTAGCATTTTTTCTTCCTTAAGTATGTGTTATCAAGTTTCAGGAATGTTAAAAAGTTCTCTGATGATTTAATCTGAAATCATTCCTACAGCGAAATTCATAAATAATAAATATTATCTTATTAATCCATATTTTAGTTTAGCTGGATCTCAGAGCAAGTTAGTTCCTCAGGGAATGCGGTGTTCTTTATAAAAGAAGGTGATGAGATGTAATCTCCAAGGAATTAAATTGTGAAAACAATCTTGGTATTGTACATGCTAATATAAATCTGTTATTCCCTTTCCGCATCTATCACAACACATTTTAAATTGTGGCTGATCTTGTATGCAAATAGCTGTCTTATTAGAAATTGCGGCTCTATGTGCTAATGTCTCTCTGGATTTCTTGGGAGTTTGCTATCTAACCATCAAAGCAATAGAAATGAATGATGATTACTGCAAGGCTTTGAAGAACAAAGAAAAGTCAGAACATTTTAGAGGTTCTAGATGTCTGAGGTGCTGACAGTTTGCACCATACACATGAATGGGAATCTTTTTAGATCATTTAAAATAGCCTCAATGTGTTTATTAGGAAAGTAAAGTATTTTCTACCTTCTTGTGTTTGTTACAGCTAATAAAATGTAAGGTATTTGTGCATGGGTGTGTTCTTTAGATGTTTTTTTGTTTCAACATTTGGTAAAATTTTATTTTGCTTAAAGAATAGAATAGAATAAATAAAGAATGGAGTAGAATAATTTCAGAGAATAAGGTTTTAACTTTTGAAATTTTGGTTAAGGATTATCAGTCACCAAAATCATTGGGAACAAAAATTTAAAGCTAGTTCCTCTTTAATGTATCGCTTAGGTTCAAGTTCTTTTAAGGATTTTATATTCACAGGTTTTATACATATAAAATGTATCAATTCATAGAGTATAGGCCTAGGTTCTTTAGCTTTTTTTGGTATCACTTTGTTCATTTAAAGTACATTTTAAATTAAGTAAAATCTAATTCCTTTTGTTGAAAAGATATTCTCTATGAATCCCTTCCTTTTTTATTTACAACGGGTAAGGAATGAATAAAATATTGGCTTTTAAAGTGTTATCTCTGTTAGGATGCTGGTTTAAATGACCAAGCAGGAATTGAAGGAAGCATAGTGAGTGACTGTTTTGGTAGGTGGCCTTAGTATTTTGCATTTTAAAAATTTAAGCTATTCCATAAAGGCAACAGACAAAACTAAATTGAAGAGGGAATAATGTCTGTGTATTTATTTATTTAAACTAACTTCTCTTCTGAAATGGTGATATTTTTTCTAGCCCCACATAATCAAGATTAAAATAACTTGACTCCTCTTTACAATTAGTAAATGCAAAACACTATGCAAATGGATTGCTATATTAATAAATTATAACATACCTATTGATATTTTTTATGATGCTTGTATTAATGTTCTGAATAATAACAAGGGAGAATATAGGGTTAGGTGATGTCTTGGTTTCATTTCTGAAATTTTACTGTTATATTATCTTAGATGTGATAGCTACATGGTTTATGAGAGGTGAAGATTTAATTTATTTGACTCTGTCTTACTTTGCACATTCTCAAATATTACCATGATATTAAATCTGAAGATTATTATGTATAGAAAAATGGATTTTTAGCAGAACTTATAATTTTCTTACACATAAGTAGTAATTATTAATTTGGGGATGCCTTTTACAGTGTTGGGTGGTATCATTGTTAGGATTGCTCTGCGTGACCATATGTATAAATAAACAATACAGTTTGATCTGAACAGATTTCAAAGACATTTGGCATTTGAGAACCTTAATATTTTTCTTTAGGAAAATTACAGTTTAATAATTTATATGGAGACATCTATACATACTTGTTTTAGTTAGGGTGGTACTACCTACTGTAACAAACAAATATAAAGTGTATAGAGGCTCAGATGCTACAAGTTAATTCTTGTTCTCACAGCAGTGTGAAAGAGAAAAACAAGTTGGTTGAGTAGGTTTCCTTTGTGTAGTCCTTCAGGATCCAGGAAGTCACAGGCTCTGCCATCCTCATCACATTATTTCCAGCATCACTCTGGGGGCCATTTCCATTTTAGCCACATGAATGAGTACATATGGAAAGTTTTTATAGGTTAGTTCTAGAAGTAGCAAACACTAATTTATTCATATTCTGGTGGCTGAAACTCAATCACATGCCCACAGCTAATATAGAAGGAGGCTGGAAAAGTTGTCAGGTGAGCTCAGGAAACAAAACAAAACAAAACAAAACAAAGGAGAACATGTATTTTAGTAAGCAGCCAGCAATTTTTCCTATAGTTCACCTTTCTGGTCATGATATAGCCATGCATATCCTTTTTCCTGACTCTTTAGTAGGAAAATCCTAAAGTTCCCCGCTTACTGCATCCAGGACAAAGCCAAGGATCTCAAGCCAGAGCATAGTGCTCCCTCTTAGGTTGGAATATGCTTCCTTGAAGTTTACAGACTATAAAATTTTCCTAATGGTGAAGCAGAAGGTAACTGCTTCATATCTTCTGTAATCAGTCCCATTTAGAAAGGAAGGATGGGAAGAATGGGAAACATACAGGAAGCACTGATCCAGCATGATAAGAAAACCTGCTGTTCGTGAGGCCACTGAGAATGCCCATTGTACTAACAGACGTTTCTTCCTTGGAGTCTAATTATGGTTTTTTAGAGAAGTTCCCTTGTCCGTTGTTCTTTATGGCCCTCCCTTCTGGATGGTTCTCCTTTCTGGTCACATATGAAGTGGATGTTCCAAATCTACAGATTTTGCCTTCCTTGGGGGCTGCAATCTGCCGGTTTAAGTTTAGAGGTCCAAGGATTGGTTTTCATTCACATACTTTTTTAGACAAAGTTGATTTCCTTGTAAATATAATTCCCTCAGATTTTATACCCTTCTTACTATTTCTGCTTAGTTCCATGTGACCGTGCAATCTCTGCCACATATATTTTTTTAGTTTTTATTTAAATTTCAGTTCGTTGGCAGTGTAATATTAGTTTCAGGTGAACAATACAGTAATTCAGCCCTTCCATACAACACCCTGTGCTCATCACAAGTGCCCTCTGTAATCCCCCTCACATATTTCACCCATCCCCTCACCCACCTCCCCTCTGGGAACCATCAGTGGGTTCTCTATAGTTCAGTCTGTTTCTTGGTTTGCCTCTCTGTCCTGTCCTTTTTTCCCTTTGCTTGTTTGTTTTGTTTCTTAAGTTCCACATATGTCTGCCACATATTTAAATTCAATAAAAATAATAAGATTTGAAAGATGTGTTGTGGATTAAATCAAATAGTGCATATAATGTAGTAAGCATGAGAATATTAGTAAATGGTAGTAATTTATATTGTTTACAGAAGAAGAGACAGAACTAGAACTCTAATTTATGCACTTTTGTTACCTATGTCATGCTTTTTAAAACAAGATTCAATGTATCTGAGAATCAAACTTTAGCCTTTTTGTGTAACAGAATAGGTAATTGGAAAGAAACATACTGCCAAGAGCATGCCTACAACTCCAACCCATCTGAATAAATGGTACATGATTTTCACATTTACAGATAATACTAACAGTTTGATTTGAGTATTGATAGTACTTGATAAGATGAATGTTACCAAGAACAAATAATTGGGAAATTTAATTACCAGCAGTTGTATCCTTGATAATTTATTTGAGAGAATTTTGTGTTCTTTACTGATATCTAATGGGAATAAGTCAAAGACATTTTTACCCATTGCTTTAAAAATGAATTTTATGGAATAAATTATTCCTGAAGTTTGTAGATAGTCCTTTTGATGTTTTAGGACTTCATCATAATTATTTTCTTTCTTTGCAGCAGGCATTTTGGAGATCAAAGATGGGTAGAAAAGATGCCTCCACTATAAAACTTCCTGTTGATCAGTACAGAAAGCAAATTGGTAAGCAATGAATTCCCTTTGATACATTCCTGTGAATTAAGATAAAGAAAAAGGCAATTATGTGTGATATTAAGAAAATAACTTTTCCTTAATACATATAATACACAGAATATGAGTAACGAAGGACTATATATTTTTAAAGAGCAAAAAATAAGTGTAGCCTACTTACCAATGGAGAAATACACATTGTGTACTTGTGATTTTCAAAGCTCTTATAATTTTTATGAATTTAATAAAAGCAAAAATACATTTTATTATTTTTCTTAAGGCTAGATGCATTTATATGGTGAATATTTTTAGTGTTATCATCTATTAAATCATTTATTTTTATCCATGTAAAAACTTTTAATTTTGTTGACTCAATGACAATAATTGATAAGCCTGAAATTCTTCTTTAAAATTTTACTTTAATAAAATGGTGGACTAGAGAAAAGTCCACTAGTCAACATACAAAAATAACAGGAAACTTACCTATTTTATACTATGCTCTAAGTACAGGATTTTCTACCCATTTTTTTCAAGGGTACATGGAGTATTTATAAAAAATTACCCACATACAAAGTTACAAACCAAGTCCCCCCAGTTTTAAAGAATCCGTATCCTAGAACTACAACTTTGAACAAAGTTTAGTAAATTAGAAATTGGTTAGAAGCAAAAAAGTTAACTTACCCTTTCCCATCCTGTACCCTCTCTTTTTACATGTTCCTACTCATTCCCACCCATTCCCACTTCTTTGGAAATAAAAAAATAACAATTAATAAAAAACCTCTTCTAAAACACTGAAGGATAAACAGAGAAGTTACAATAGAAATCAGAAAAAAAAGTAGAAATTATTGATACCAAAAGAGTATATACCTATTTTATAAATGTGATATATAAGGTGCACTCCATAAAGGTATTTCTGTAAAACAAAAGAGATGCAAAATGAAAAGAATATTTACAATGTATATAACCAATTAAAGATTTATATGTAGAAAAATAAAGTCCTGCTGTAAATAAATAAGGTAGTCTGGAAACCCAATAGTAAAATAGGTACAAAACATAAAGAGGCAATTCATGAAAGAGGAACTCTGAATAAACAAAATAAATACAAAACAAACAACTATTACAATAAAAAAATGAAATCAAAAGAGCCTTATAAAATGATCTAACTCATCTAACTGGTAGTCAGATAAAAGCAAATTAAAAAAAAGTATTTCTAACTGATTAAATTTCCTGAGGGATGGTTTATGATGTTTGATATTTTTTTGGTATATTCCACCTTCCTTCACTTACAGGATACCTAATGAATAAATAGTGTGGGTTGTTGTTTATGTGTTTAAACAGGACTGACTTATCAGATTAAAGTCTCTGATCAAATAGGATATGCTAACCACATAAAGAAGAGCCATATCAGGGATCAATTCACAATTCAACTCTTAAATATACAATTCTTAGAATTTTGACAAGCGTACATACCTGTGTAACCAGAAACGCCAATCAAAATAGAAACATTTACATTTTCTCAGGTAATTCTTCATATCTGCTTCCAGTCAGTCTCTACCCACCTCCATATGCAACCACTGTTCTGATTTCTATCACCATGGATGAATTTTTTCTAAAAAAAAAAAAAAAGCCCTGCAAAGTTTGTTATTGAAATTTTTATCTAATAATCAATTTTGGAGAATAGGCATTAAAATCTAAAGTCTTCTGTATTACAAACATGGCATATCTTTCTTTTATTTAGTTCTATTCATATTTATTAGAGCCAAGGAAGGGTGAGACAAAGTAATATAATTGTGAGGCCTCATCCCTGTTCTTATACTAAATTGTTCAGAGGGTGCTGTGATATGCATTATATTCCTATACAAAGTTCTCTTTCCTGTTTTACTTCCTCTTGAAAATATTAGCTCCACAAGATCCACCTGTCTCAGAAGGTTCTTTGGAGAGTCATGAGAAGTGTCAGACCAGTTTGTAAACTACAGTGTTGCATGGATATGAGTTATCCTGTGTGTACTTTTTTTTTTTTTAAAGATTTTATTTATTTATTTGACAGAGAGAGAGATAGCGAGAGCAGGAACACAAGCAGGGGGAGCAGGAGAGGGAGAAGCAGGCTTCCCGCCGAGCAGGGAGCCCAATGTGGGACTCGATCCCAGGACCCTGGGATCATGACCTGAGCCGAAGGCAGACGCTTAACGACGGAGCCACCCAGGCGCCCCTGTGTGTACTTTGCAAATACAGTAATCATAATCTAAAACAATATATTAAAAGAATGATGATATACTTTGTTCACTACTTTTAAGGATAATGCACTGCAGTCTTAAGGTTCTTATGCATATACTATAGAATATTATGATATATGTAGGTTTTTGTAAAGACAGAGAAATGAAATAGAAAAGATACTGACTAGTTAATTAATACAAACTAATTAATTAAGATATTAACTAATTCAAGGATTTTCTCAAGGAAGCATTATCTGATTTTCCGTATCAGAGTTAGAAAGTACCACAAGCCTGAGCTCATACTAATGATGATAGATCTATCACTGGCACTGTCTCCCTTAAATGGAGTCCTATGCAGATGTTTCCCAGATTTGATAAAAAATGTGAGGAGGGAATAAATCAGCCATAATTATCTTGAAGAGATACGTCAGTATTGGTGGTAAAAAAAAAAGAAATATAAATAGCAAATAAAATGAGTATCGTAGTGGGTTTTTTTACTATTAAAGTTATTGATAAGCTAATTTAATTGCTAGTTAATAAACATTCACAAGGAATAGTGGTATTACATATGTGCAGTGTCCTCTTGTTATGAAATCTCACTTATTTATATAATTTTTGTATGGTCAGTCAGTAACTATATTTGTTTGGCAATACCAGTGCCGTGTTTTGAATAATGATTTTTTTTTTAAAGATTTTATTTATTTATTTGAGAGAGAGAGAGAGAGCACATGAGAGGGGGGAGGGCCAGAGGGAGAAGCAGATTCCCCGCTGAGCAGGGAGCCCAATGCAGGACTTGATCCTGGGACTCCAGGATCATGACCTGAGCCGAAGGCAGTCACTTAACCAACTGAGCCACCCAAGCGCCCTTGAATAATGATTTTAATATCACTGTTTAATATTTATCTTCTGGTAAAAGTTTTGCCTTTTCAATTATGTACTAAATGACAATGATTAATGGCTTTTAATAAAAGCTTTCTTTACAATATTCTTTGCTCAGGTAAGAATCAAATGGGCAGATGCTGTGACTGAAAACACCTTGTAGATACAGAATCCTCACATTAAATGGACACTGTTTTGATTACTATAGCATGATCTTGAAATGTGTAGTGAAGATGAAATACCTTCTCGATTTCAAGGCAATGTACCTAAGAAAAACAATATTCTGAAACATTGCTGGCTTAAAGGGGAAATAAGTTGGTTTGGGTCTTTTCATTTCTTCAGATATAATATTGTAAAAATAGAGAGTAAGATTGCCTAATATTACATGTATTATTCTAGAGATAAATTATTTCAAGATTGGAAGAGAATTTTAAAAACTGCTTTGACATAATTAAGATATTTTTAAGTATATGTTATTAAGTATATCAGGCCAAATAATATTTATATGTATTAGGTAAACCATTATAAAAATATAACTAATTTACTTGTAAATCTCTATTTTCTTATGTAATAAAAGTTGATAACAATTATTAAGCATCTTGTGCCAGGCATATCTTATTTTATCTTCACAGTAGTCCTGTAAAAAAGCAACTACTATTATATAACTCCATTATATAGATCAGGAAGACTTGGCACAGATGGGTTAAAGAATTTTCCCAAGGTTCCACAATTGGTAGGAGGTAGATCCAGGACTCAATTCCAAGAAATTGACCACATAATCCCTTCACTATACTACTTTTTTGGAGTTGAAGACTATATTAGGTACTGGCAGATGCAAAGATAATTAGGCCACAATATTTGAGTTCATGGAATTGACAGTATAAATAGCACTTTGGCTGTCAGGAGAGTCTGAGGTACCTCTCTCTGCTCCTAATTTAGAAAGACCAAATTATGATGCTTCCATTTCTTAATTCTCTATTTTTTAAAACTAAGACATTATTATTATAGTTTTTTCAGTCAAAGCTCATACAATTGTATACATATTTACCACTTACCCTGCTCTTAATTCTCATTTACATCCCAGACCTTAAATCTGAAATCATGTTCTTTGTGCCCGATGAACATTTTTTAGAATTTCTTAGAGTGTATGTCTACTTGTGGCAAGTTCTGTTTCTTTCTTTTATGATATTAACCTACCATTTTTAAAAGTTTTTATTGAAATTCCAGTTAGTTAACATACATTGTAATATTAGTTTTAGGTGTACAATTTAGTGATTTAATACTTCCCATGCAATGCCCAGTGCTCATCACAGCAAGTGTACTCATTAACTCCCATCACCTATTTAACCCATCCCCCCACCCACTTCTTGCTGGTAACCATGTTTGTTCTCTATAGTTGAGTCTTGTTTCTTGGTTTCCCCCCCTCTCATTTTGTTTTTTAAATTCCAACATCAGTGAAATCATATGGTATTTGTCTTTCTCTGATTGACTTATTTTGCTTAGCATAATACCCTCTAGCTCTATCCACATCATTACAAATGGCAAGATTTCTGAGTGAGTAATATTCCATCGTGTGTGTGTGTGTGTGTGTGTGTACATAATGGAAATGGAATTTCCTTTGGAAAAATGTCTATTCATGTCTCTGCCCATTTCTTAACTGGATTATTTATTATTTGGGTGTTGAGTTTGATAAGTTCTTTATAGATTTTAGGTACTAACCCTTTAGCTGACATGTCATTTGCATATCAAATTCTCCCATTCCATAGGTTGCCTCTTAGTTTTGTTGATTGCTTCCTTCTCTGTGCAGAAGCTTTTTATCTAGATTAAGTCCTAATAGTTCAGTTTTGCTTTTCTTCCCCTTGTCTCCAGAGACGTGTCTAGTAAGAAGTTGCTACAGCCAATGTCAAAGAGGTTGCTGCC